ATGGTTGCTGAAGTAGAGTTGTACATGATGTAGACAGCCTGGGAGGTCCACAGCACGGCTGCTGATACTCCATTACACACGGAACTGAAGTAGACGAACCAACTCTGCTGTTGTAGGAGTGCCACAAGGGGTACGCTGGGACAACATTCACAGGGTGATACAAAATAAGTCAAGATTTAAAAGCTATCAATATATACTAAAAATATTTCCCTCTTAAATCGCCATATTGTTGCACATGCTCGTAGGATTATAATATCTGCGATCACAGCAACATCCATTGTAAGTAGGCTACTCACGATCCTGCCAACATCACAACCACCACCATATCAATCACCATATTCATGTTGACTTTTACAATTACAACGAATCCCGTCAGTAAGGAAACAATCTTGATCATGATATTTTACTTGACACGAGAAAGGATAAACAAAATTTACCAAGACATAATTTATTTTTTGTGTGTTCTTCCCCAAAGCGCGGGGCCTGTGCAACCGCATCTTTCCCACATGCCTAAGGCCGGCTCTGGTTTGTTGACAACATCAAGAAGGCAGCATCATGACCTAACAAATATTCTAGGTCAAATACAACATCTGATTGCCCGTAATTACAGTAGATCTTATTTTTTCTCCACGTTTTTCTGATGAGATAAACAACACATATACTGGTTGTGGATTGTGTTTATGTGCCTCATGGCTCATTTACCTCATTGTAATGAAATACAAAATTTACCACACCTTAGTCCTTGTAGAAGAGGTGAATGCTCTTAAATCTTAAATTTTCTTGCAATAACAAATTTGATTAATTTGTGCAAAGTGTTATAGGAATTATCAATAAATTGAATACTTTAAACGGATATTTTCAAAAAATAGTCCAGAGACTTTGAGATCATCTTCTGTTGCAATTGTGGGATGACTGAGCAACTGCTGCATTCTTTCAAGTGTAGTTTGATATTTTTGAAACCAACCATTTATGGTCCTTACAATTCTAAACGAAATAGTGCACCCCCACTACTAATAGTGCTGTAAAAACTACGGTTCAAAAGTTATTGCAACTTATGTTATTTTCCCTATAAAATAATAAAATATCAAACATAGTTACTCCCATTGCATTCCCATGATAAAGGTTGTTGACAAGCTAATGGGAGAAAGTGTATGTCAGATTGGTGATACTGTTTATTTAATAACAATTTGGTGACAGCTGGTCCATATAGATGGGATATCTAGTTCAGTATCCCAAAGTCAAAGAAGTGTTACAATATTTACCAATATCCAACAGATCCTAACGCCAGTGCCCATTTTGGTCCAATTACATTAACAATCGGTGGAACAAACCAAATAAACACAGCAAAAGATGTGTATAATAGTAACAAATTGGTATAGCCATCCCCTTTGAATCCAATTACTTCCTGCTGTATACTGTGTATTAGAATTTCCTGAAATTCACAAAAAGAATTGTCAAGATAATATATCATAAATGATTCATCTTATAAAATCATATAGTAGTACATCACAAGGGCCTAAAGTGACTCTTTTTGACCAGAGGTCAAGTTTTACGATCGAGAGGAAGCCGAGGTTGGAAAATGAGCGAGGGTTAAAAGTAACTTTTTGCCCGTGTGGTGAACTATATTTTTCGTCATATTGCACCATTATTTGGACAAACTATGTTAAACTACTTCTAACTAAATGGAAACAATCAGCTGTTTAGTAAGTGATTCAATCGTTTTTCTATTACGATTGTGTTACAGTGTGTAGTTAGTTGAAACAGCTGGAAAAATTCTTTAACTCTTTTTAAATGTGAATACTGATAAGGTTATCATGGGAATCTACAGAGCCACTGGGACTGAGCCCAAAAGGATGTTTGAGATAAGAGTATGGCAGAATTCTGACATACTCTTATCTCAAAGATCCTTTTGAGCTCAGCCCCAGTGGCTCTGTAGATTCCCATGATAACCTTATCATGGTCACCTTACATGTATATTTGTTAATTGGGAATGTTCATCATACCAAATTTCAGCACAATCCAACCAGTAGTTAATGCGTGATTGAACTTCAAACAAACACACTAGCTTTCACATTTATAATATTAAGTATGATATTATACAGTTTTCAGAGTCATGTTACTGTATTTTTTATTCTATTTACAGATTTATATTCCTTGTAGTTGGAAAAACAGAGAAGAGTAACTTAGATCTTTCGATGGCGCTGAAACATCTAGGCTACTTAAATTCCTTGAATCAGTGACAAACTCTGACGTGCATATTTTTTGCTGAATATTAATGAATGTGCTGGAAAATGAAATAGTTCGTTCAGTGTAAAACTAAGTGAATTGACCTGTGTAGCTTTGTTACTGACTACAATCAGTTGTTTCTTTTGACCAGAATCAACTATTAATAAAATGTTCAAGGGACGGCTGGGTCCATATTCATGAAACTCGCTAAATGTTTACTGTATTTGTAAAGTGAAAATGAGTTGTCTGATTAAGTACTAGATTTCATAGTTGTTTAGTCTTCTTGATTACTTTCACATATAAACAAAACATTATTAAACTTGATTTTGTCCAGCGTTCAGTAACCTATTCTATGGATAGAATCCTAAAAGCTAAAATCCATGGTAAAAATTGATTAATACTGAAGTAAAACTTACTTACAAATTAAATTGTTAAAGAGTATCAGTTACGATGATAAAAAACACTTACCTCCAAATTCGATAAAGTGTAAAATGCTGAATACAATAACATAAATATGATTCCTAAAATTATAGAGTTCAGTATTTCTTTAGTGGTTGTTTTCATATTTAGTCACTCAAACAAATAAATAGACACATGGTAACCACACTGCAGAATCAATAATAACTGAATCATTTGTCAATGATTTCCCCAAGCTTCAACACGTTGACCAATCAGAATTTAAGTCAACCACTTGAGGCTTGCTGATATCAAGAGTACATTTCTGTTGGATTTTCCTACTATAAATTGATGGTAATAGAGATTCATATCTATATTTCAATTGCTAACTTCAATAGCTCAATCGCTCAAGTAACATATCAATTTATTTGTTGTAGTCTCTAATGTATATTAGTAAAAATTATTAAAAGAATGAAAATAATCAAAATTATGTTATGAAATATATATTTATTTTTGCTTTTTGTAATCATCTTTTGAAAATAACTGAAAATGTGGTCAAATTGTCTATAAGAGCCCAAGCTGTTTACATATTCATTATAATACACAAACATTTATCCTATTCAAAAGTTTGCTTACTTCTGCTTTCTATGTCCATTTTGATTGTAACCCACTTATATTTCTGACTCATTCCAACACAAATGTATATAACATTATTTGGAGGGTTTCGGGAGTCAACTAGATTGAACAGTTTAGACTATTTTGAGAAGTTACATGATAAAAGATCAAGTGCTGTCCAGATTAATGAAATTAATACATTCAAACAATGAAAAGTTTCACTGTATAATCTTGACTACGGTATCTATAAATTAATACTTTTCTCGATTTTTTTTACTCTTGTAGACACACCCCTCCCATCTACTATTTTTGTCAACCAACCCGTAGACCTTGCACTCATCGACTTATTCTATCTCTGCAAATCCAGTAAGGGGATGGAGAAATAAAGATGCATTTGGTCATAAGTTGGTTATATTTACCATTATGTACAGTCACTATAAACATCTAATATAGACTTTAAGCAGATTAAAAATAGATTTATGCAAATAAAAATTAGGAAATTATTGGAAAAAGAGAACATTAAAAGGTTAAATTTCTAATGTATGCTTTAATTTGAGTTTGGATAGATTTTTCTTATGTAATGATGGGAAAAAACATTTAAAACCTTTCTTTACCTTAAGTAGACATTTTTGGTCAAATTTTGCCAAAATTATGTTAAAATGATATACATACTTCTTTTTCATTCAGGTTGAGACATTAGGATCTAGGAATAAAAATAGATTTCAAAAATTATTATGTGACTAAAACTCTATGAAGTATTTTTTTTACATATTTTTAAGCTATAATGCCAACAAAGTTTTTAAAACAAATTTTACAGCAGTATTTTATAAAATTTAACTGCCAGACCTGTTAGGATCTACCTTACCGGTATGTAAAAAAAATTTTTATAAACCAGGACAATGAAATTTGGATTTAAATTAAAATAATTTGAATTTATAAAATATATATAATACGTTTTTGTAATTTTATTTGTTATTTATCTCATCTGGGATTGTTTTACTCTTAGTAAAAACATGTCATAAAACTCTTCAGGGTTTCACATTCTGAAACTAACAATTTAAAATTTTAAAATTATTTATAAAGTTACTAGGCACCTTAATTGTTGCAATTGCTTTATAGTCCGAGTGAGTTAATACTCAATGACAAAAGTTAATATTTGGAAAATTTCTTATTGCTTCGTGAATATTTCATATTTTGTACTGAAACATTTACAGATAAGTTGGAAGGGTAATTTCTTACAAATTTTTATCAAGGATAATATTAGAAAGAATTAAGTTCTATAAGGTTTGAACAGTTTTATATATTTAAAAATAAAAATCAATTACAACAATCATCAAACAAGTTTGGGGCTGGTAATATGATTTAGTGTATTTTTAAAGAGTTTCATACCTAAATCAAATTTAGGGACTTTCGCTTACAAAAAATTAGAAATATATTATGCTACAATAGATTATATTGAAGATACACAGCTTTGACAATTAATTGTAAAAAAATAAGCTAAAAAATACATTTCAAACTGTGTGTAAGTCAATAAAAATATTCAAAGCTGCAAAAACAAACTTTTAAAGGCATATTTGCAAATATTATTCATCTTCAACAGAACTCAACATATAATTTCTTACATTCAAAAATATTTAGGTATTACAATTCAGAATAAACCATTTCACATATTACAAGTAAATGATTAATTTTTAATCTGTGATTTATTGTTAAAACTTCTGAATAAAATAATTAAAAGAATTTCTAGAAACAGATGCTTGTAATAATACCTTCTCACATGATTGTCGATTTGATGTCAACAAGTCTAATTCTGAATCATTGTATTCACTAATCATCGGTAAGGCAAAATTAAACTGACTTTAAAAACACATTTTATAGGCTACAATACATTTTTTTTTGCTCCCTCATAGGATTTTATTCTGAGAACAGATAGAAAGGATTAGCACAACTGGTCTACCAAGAAACATAGATTAATGTTTCTTGTAAGACAAATAACAGAAACAGCTGTTTTCTATTAAATATTTATTTATTGAACATCACAATTTTAATATACTATCCGGACAAAACTAGATTTCCCAAAGTATAAAAATTACAATAACAATATTTGTTGTTAATACATAAAATCACTAATTTTTCCACAAGTTCATTTCATTTCACAAGGAAAATAAGCCCAAGAACAACAAATAATTTTTTTTGAGTCTGCACCATCATCATAGAGAAGGATTAGGCCTAGTTTATATAGAGATTCAACAAAATTTAAAAGCATAAAATGGTAACGGAATTCTTTAGGATAGTAAAATGGAAACAGTTTCCGTCATTATATTCTGTATTATTGAAATATTTTTATAAGAAACTAACTAATAATAATTTACAAATAGAAAAGACTATAAGAACACTTCATAAAATTGTATTTCAACAGTAATTATTGTTGTCGTTACAATAACTAGTAATGAGATTATATTACATAGAATTTGCACCAAGACGGTTATTAAAAATATTCAAATCTTTCAGACTCTATACAATGTCTACATTTCGCTAAATATTTAACTCCATACTTTTAATATACATCCAATATTTAACATTGTCCTAATTAAAGCTAAATGCCCTAAATTTAATTTGATTTCAGATGGAAGAACCTGTTTTCATACATACAGGAATCCACGATAACACTAATATCAAACGTATTTTCCTTAGGAATTTATATTGTGCAATCTAACTTAACAAAGCGAACATATCAAAACTAAATTTACACGTTATATAACATTATCAATTTACAAATACTAAAATATCCGTGATATCTACAATAACCGTATTACACATATATACATGTTTGTAAACAAAATTTAAATTAATATCACACAAAATATTAAAACTATTGTTGCATCGTAGAACTAAACACAATGGTAGGCTGGGTTGGAATGATAAAATGATCAATAGACCGGTGAAAGGTCTAGGGTTAGGTTGCGGATCGCGTTGTTGCGACTTGTGCGCGACGACTTGATGATCTGAATGACCATCGTCTTACAGTCGTGGCAGACAATCATTTCTAGACCCTTCAACTTTTCAGCCTTCTCCTCGGGTCGACCTAGCGTCTTTGAGCGGGTGAATCGTCTATGAACAAGAATAAAGTGTAAAAACATCGCTCATGATTGATCAGTGACTTTATATCATAATTATCAGATGATTGAGTCATCTTTAGGACTTCACACTCGTTATACCTAATACACAATAAATGAAGGAACTTCTTGGAACCCCAAGTCAAGTGTAGAGAGAGAGTTCCAACGCTTAGGAATTCTCTTTTTCCCCCTGGATACAAAAAATTATGTTTTTTTTATGTGTCTTCTGCACGTTCTATATCATACTTCTGTATATCTTCTAAGGTAAGCTAGCAGCTATCTTCTTTTGCAGCATTTTTATGTCCTTCAAATATGCTACGTCTTGGTTTGATGTTTTATATAGTAATTTTCTTTATTAAATTGGTTTTAAATCTTAAAAAAAAGAACAAGAAAATGGCTGGACTGCTTCCTTGCAAAGGTTTTACTAATGTATTTTATTTTTGACATATTAAGAGTCAATATAACAACATGAATTTGTTTTTTAAATTCATTATGTTATTTTGTGGGGTGTTGAGCCGCACAGGATCACTAAAGTCTGGACCACGTAAGTTTGCAGTTGGTGGCAGCCAATCACAAGACAAGGCTAGTGCGACATTGCCACATTGCCCGTTGACAACACTAATTCAAATATACTAAGCAATATTTTCAAATCAGCTGGTATTATTAGATTTGGCAACACCGCACGGTTCTCATTGGTTCATTCAAAACCACATGGTAAATAGGCTCCTCCCTCAACTACAAACTTACAAGGTCCCGACTGTAGTAATGTAATAGGATAAATAATACCATTACTAAAGTGTCATCTATTACCTTGGTAATAGATTACTGAGGATACCCTACCCTATTATTTTAGTAATGTCATCTGAACTGTGTTTAATAACGTAATAACTAAATGTCTCCTCATAAAACGACGACCATTGCAAAATAGTAAGTCTCTTGGTACAATTATTTTTGTAACGTCGTCTGAACTGTTAGGAAGAGCGAGTGAAGTAAAACTGCCTGTTTGCTATCACAATCGACCTTAAACGTCCTTCACGAGGGAGTAATAGGTGACAAAAATGATTATTATTTCACCTATTACCAAAAAGCTAAGGAACGTTCCTTACTATAGAAGAGTAACGGTAGATTCTATGTAGATGGGATGTTTACGTATTGGTACCTGAGAGTGCCGGTGGGTGTAGACATGGTGCTGATGGGAGGAAGACTCATGTGTCCGGAATCTGATATCATACTGGTAGACATCTGGCTGGGCGGGGCCGAGCGGTTCATCTTGGGACTGGAGGGAGCGCTGCCTACAGCCTTGCGGTCCGGAACCACCAGTCTGTTGTAGAGCGCACGAGGGAACGAGTCGTCTGAGTCCGGAGATAGCAGTCCGGGACTCAACGCCACCACCGGAACATGAGAGAAGTGCTCTGTTGGTATCCTCATCTGCAACATTGTGACAGGAGTCAGGATGAATGGGTAACTAAGTCAAATGCATGAATTTGGAAATTTAGTGTGTCCTAATGTAGTAGAACCCATGATATCCGGCCTCGGTTTATTCGGGCCCTTCCAAGAAATTTTTTTCTCATTGCTTACAGACATGTAGACGCAAGCACTAGTTTTTGTGACTTGAGCTATCTCACTGTAGGCCAAACCTCTGAACAGTTGGTTGAGTATTTCCAAAACGGGGTTAGTATAGTACATTAATTGTTGTATTTTGTAAGAACAAAATGGATAAGAAATTTGTGTCCCATTTCAGTCCTTTAATGAACTTCATCTCAATTTATTGTTATTTTTACTTTCATCATTATTGAATAGTTTTTAGATATCTGGAATCATTTTTTTATGTTTATTATTTAACAACTTTAACCTGCAAATAATTTTTTTTCTTCTTTTTGTTCTTCTACAAAACCTGTGTACTTCTAAAAATAATCCCAGGACAGACTTGAACAATACAAAAGACTACATATGTTGATTACACTTTATTACCAGGTACGAATTGTCGTTTTTATAGTAGTAGAGCCAATTAATATGGTAGTAGTTGGCCAGAGTTTATCTGGCCAAATCGTTATCCGGCCAGGGGCTTGGTCCCGTGGAGGCTGAATCTGACCCAACTAATATTCATGCTCTGACTCATCTGAAGCCAGTTTTGAGGAGTACTTGTCTTCTGGACCTGGTTATAATTTTATCAACTACATTCTCCTCTTGTATTCTAATTGTTAGAGAATAAGAAAATAAGTGGCTGATTAACACACTCTTACAATATGTCAATAAATTCCATTTAAAACTAGCACAGCCAAGTAGAGCCAAGTATGCAAAAACTAATTGAAACATTAAGCAAGACCCTCTTTCTAAAACATGTTGAATAAGTTTAAAGGATTTACAGAGACGATATCATAAGAATAGGCACAGAGTGACTGAAAACTGTGGGAAAAACGCACGATTTTGTGTGTTGTACCTAATTATAATTATAATAGACCTTAACTGCCAGAACAACCTAAATTACTTCATAATCATGAAATCTTAACTGACAAATTTAAACATTACCTGAAGAAATGTCACTTCAAATTATAGTTTAAATTACAACTGACCTTTGAATAACATTTGCAGCAGACAGTTCGTTTACACAGCTTGCAAATCTGGCCCCAAGGTCCAAATATGCTGAATCTGGTTTTCATACACAGGAAACATACCTGTAAGGATAGATAATATGTAATATGTAATATAATCAAATAAAATATTAATAAAAATCATTGATATCGATACCTTCTTATTGATTTCAGCACGCTGTACAGAAATCATCACTTTTGTTAATGTCCAAACCATTTGCTCATAAACATGTAGTAGTTAACTTTTTATTTGACTAATTTTGAGTCAGGTGAATCAATGAAGCAAACATATATAGTCCTAGGTTTATATGTCCTTAAGCAAAAAATAAACGATTAAGGAATTCTTTGTTTAACATCTAGAGTGTTTCAAGGAAATTCTCACTTCCTAAGTTTTACATATACATACCTTATATGTTTTCTCATGTCATTTTTTTATATCTTTTTCCACTCTAAGCCCACTGAACTCTCTTTATAGATACCTACCTAAGTTGCCAAACCCTATAATTTGCGTGTAGCGAGCTGGTCCCTGAGGACCCGGGTACAAATCCCTCCAAACACCAAGCGAAAGCTCATTTCATTGTTAGCTTATTTCATATAAGTGAATGCCACAACCCCTAGGGAAAGCTGGAAGTAATGTGAAAAACGACCCTGGGCTAGAGCTTAGCTTACTAGGAACAAAAAAACCAAAAAACCCAAACATTAATTTTTAAAGTTAAGGTTTGATTAAATATATCCATGTAGGTAATTGAGGTGAACTTACTTTCCGTTTCTCTGCGTCCTCCTTGACATGTCCCTCGACTGGAAGACTTTCCAGCTCTGCCTTAGTCAAGACGCTGCGAATGTGAACAATCTCCTCCAGTGTTAGAGACAGACACTCCTCCTGCCATGTCTTCTGCAAGTACAAGAGATACAGGTTAACAACTAAGGCAACAGAATGTGAACAATCTCCTCCAGTGTTAGAGACAGACACTCCTCCTGCCATGTCTTCTGCAAGTACAAGAGATACAGGTAAACAACTAAGGCAACAGAATGTGAACAATCTCCTCCAGTGTTAGAGACAGACACTCCTCCTGCCATGTCTTCTGCAAGTACAAGAGATACAGGTAAACAACTAAGGCAACAGAATGTGAACAATCTCCTCCAGTGTTAGAGACAGACACTCCTCCTGCCATGTCTTCTGCAAGTACAAGAGATACAGGTAAACAACTAAGGCAACAGAATGTGAACAATCTCCTCCAGTGTTAGAGACAGACACTCCTCCTGCCATGTCTTCTGCAAGTACAAGAGATACAGGTAAACAACTAAGGCAAAAGAATGTGAACAATCTCCTCCAATGTTAGAGACAGACACTCCTCCTGCCACGTCTTCTGCAAGTACAAGAGATACAGGTAAACAACTAAGGCAACAGAATGTGAACAATCTCCTCAAGTGTTAGAGACAGACACTCCTCCTGCCACGTCTTCTGCAAGTACAAGAGATACAGGTAAATAACTAAGGCAACAGAATGTGAACAATCTCCTCCAGTGTTAGAGACAGACACTCCTCCTGCCATGTCTTCTGCAAGTACAAGAGATACAGGTAAACAACTAAGGCAACAGAATGTGAACAATCTCCTCCAGTGTTAGAGACAGACACTCCTCCTGCCATGTCTTCTGCAAGTACCTACAAGAGATACAGGTAAATAACTAAGGCAACAGAATGTGAACAATCTCCTCCAGTGTTAGAGACAGACACTCCTCCTGCCATGTCTTCTGCAAGTACAAGAGATACAGGTAAACAACTAAGGCAACAGAATGTGAACAATCTCCTCCAGTGTTAGAGACAGACACTCCTCCTGCCACGTCTTCTGCAAGTACAAGAGATACAGGTAAACAACTAAGGCAAAAGAATGTGAACAATCTCCTCCAATGTTAGAGACAGACACTCCTCCTGCCATGTCTTCTGCAAGTACAAGGGATACAGGTAAATAACTATGGTAACATTTATTTAACAGTATTGATTAATGGTGGTTTACGCAACGATCGTGTAAAGGTAGTCTTTATAACACGAGCTTTGGCGAGTGCCTTAAAAACTTCTACGAGTGTCGTAAAGGCTAATTACGCGAGTTGCTCACACTATGTACTTTACCTACGACTGTATTTCTCTAGAACTAAGTTATCTGACATCTTAAAAATTTTTCAATAAGCCTTCCTGCAACTGTTGGTTAGCAAATTGTTTAGTTCACCTTAGGTTAAAAAAGTCTAAGTTTCCGGCAGAAATCCGCAGATCATAACAAAATGATTTACCAGCTGCAACGATACAAATGCTGTCCACACAAGTGCTCTAAAGTAAGTTAACAATGGGGTAGAGTAAATCTTTTCGATTCTTAAAATTGAATTGAAAATACTAGTTTAAAAATGGTTATAGGTACCGTAAGTGATTTTATATTTTGTTTACTTTTAATCATTAATCTCATCTTTGTTGCTGAAACCAGGGCCGATTTACCAAATAGGCACGGTAGGCACGTGCCTAGGGCGCGAGACAATTGGCTTTTTTTGGGGGCGCCAAAAATTTGGAAATTGAAAAAAAAATCGTGGTAGTATTTGCATGCTATCGTGGTAAAATTCTGATAACCCCTCGCGGCCGTGTAGGCATCGTAATCGTCTCCCACGTTTGTGGCAAGATTCTTACTATTTTCTGCAGTCAGGTCGTTTGGACATAAAATTATCGTCTTCCATGATCGGGGCAATATATGAACATATCCCGCGGTCGTGAGGAGATTATCATCGTCTACCGCAAATGAGGCAAAATTCTGATATTTTCCCCCGGTCGTGAGGACATTATCCTCGTCTTGCGCGATCGCGGTCAAATTCTGACCACTCCTCGCGGTCGTGAAGACATCATATCGTCCCCCACGGTCGTATGGACATAGTAATCACCTCCCGCGATTGTGGAAAAACTGTAACCATCTCCCTCAGTCTTGTGGAGGTCATCATCCTCTTACGCAAATTAGGCAACATTTTGACCTTTTCCCGTGATCGTGTGGCCATAATCATCGTCTTGCGCGATTGTCACCCATCGCGGCCGTGGAGACATCATTATAAATCGTCCCGTTGGTCGTTTGGACATGTAGTGATCGCCTCCCGCGATTGCGGCAAAATATTAATCATCTCCCGCGGACATATGGAGATAATCGTCTTTGGCGAATGAGGCAAAATTCTGATCTTTTCCCGCGGTCATGTGGACATTATCATCGTCTTGAGCGATCGCGGCATTATTGTGATCATCCCTCGTGGCCGTGTAGAAATCATTATTGTATTCCGCGGTTCTGTAGACATCGTAATCGTTTCCTGCAGTTGTGAAGACATCGTAATCGTCTCCCGCGATTGAGGTAAAATGTTAATAATGTCCTCCAGGTGTGGAGATCATCGTTCTACGATCGCGGCAGAATTCTTGCTGTTTCCCGCGGTCGTGTGGACATTAACATCGTCTTCCGTGATCGCGGCAATACTAAGATTATCCGTTGCGGCTCTGTAGATACCATCATCGTCTTCTGCGATCGCGGAAAATTCTGATCATCCCTCGCAGCCGTGTGTAGACATGTTGTCGTCTCCCGCGATCACGGAAACGTCACTTTTGTCATGCGTGATCACGGTAAATTGAAAATTCCAGGTAGAAATACAAAATACACGGTTCAAAAATCTCCCGCACGATTCCCGGATTTCCCGGTCGGTGGACACCCTGTTATATATATATTGCAAAGGGGCGCTACTATTAGATGTGCCTAGGGCGCTGACAGGGTCAAAAACGGGCCTGGCTGAAACTTAAAATAAAGTGTATCACAAAATCTGCACAATGCTCTGGACCGCATACTCTAAGTATGCCCTCTCCCGTCTTTAAAACTTGTGTGATTTCTCAAAGATTAAATGGAGAAGACTGGGACGAACAGTTTTATATTTGATTGAAAAAAAAAATACAAAACTAGTATGCCTCAACTGAACAACTGTTGATATCATTATTGATTTCTAGAATTTCTTATAGTTAAATAATGATAATGATCAAATATTTTGTTGAAACAAGTATAACAGCATTTTTAGTAGCAAGAAATTAACTCGTTTATTTAGTTGGTAATTTTCACAGTATAATTTGTAACCCTAATTCTAAATGTTAAACCTAACCTAAAACGTATAAGGTTAAGTTTACATTTTAATTGATAAATCAAGAATAAAAACAAAAATTGATAAAGAAGCGGTCTACCTACTCACCTTTGCAATTGTTATAGGCATTGGTAATGCAACCGATTAAATATAAATTCATACGAGAAAAACTGTCTGAAAGCATCAATGAACCAATGGTAGTGGCAGAAAGACTGAAGGGGAGGGAGTGAAAAGTGGGTGGTGGGAGGGCAATTCTGAGTCACAAGGGAAGTACAGTCTGAGCAAGGAGTGTTCTGCCTACCAACCAGTGGAGGGCTTCTCTAAATCAATTCTGTGAATGTACACTTTTGAGAGCTTCAAAATGTCAAATTGGCCATTCCCCAATGGGAATTGACTGATTGATTTTGATGAAGGGAAATTGTCTTTGACTTTCAATTTCAATTAATTTCCCTGTCAACTGGCTCTGCTGCCAAAGTAAGGTTCCCATAAGAGTAAAGAATAACACGAGTTTTACTTAACTAGGAATTGTATAAGACGTAAGACGATCTGAAATCGTGGATAAATAATACAAAGCTTATGACAGGAAAAATATTTTAACATACTTCCCCTTATGGACTCTAGTTTTGGCACTTCAACGAAAGGTTATTTTATATTACCTCCTCCATGGTAAACTAGTATGTCTGTCCCATAACTGATTTTACATTATGAAAACGTTTTTGCTTAGAACCTTAGCCTTAATGACTATTGAGTAAACATAGAGAATCTAAAAGATCAAAGAAAATTACCCCATTTAAAGCGAACTCGTTCTGGATCCAATGACCTACTTTATAATATAGAAACACTCAGAACTTTCAAATGTGTTACCCTACTGGCATACTGTAGCGATTTCGCAAAATCCTTTTTTTATTGTACCTTAGTGAATATTTTATTTTGTTTTGGCAAAATCCTTCATTTAGTGAGGGGAAAGGGGGAATTTTTCTATTTGGCTCATTATGTAGAGTCGGTAGAACTATATGATTACAGAGAATGAGGTATTACTTTATTTCACAGTTTTCAAAATGCCTACCAGGTAGCAGCACCAACCTCTACACTTCTTTTCTCCTTGTTCTATGAAACTTTCCTCTCTGTGTAATTTGTTCACGTACTGGTGGGATCGGATGTGATAGTTTGACTTAGTCTTGTAAGCACTGATCTAGCAGCTACCATCCAACTACCATCCAAAATTGAAACAATGACTGAGTCTAAACTCTACTAGTGGCATTCCTGTACTATTTGGATTCACAAACCAAGTGTAAAGTTTAGATTTGATTAGATTTTTATGATGCCAACACATAAGGTTGCATATTTTAAGGCAAACACGAGAACTAAATGAATGAGATTACTGACAAAGATCAAGAGCCAGCTGATTTGATCAGCTGTTGTGATCCAGCTGATCTTTAGACCATGGTGTGGTAAAATAATTTCCAATGCGGGAATGTTCACCATTGTTGCAGAAAATGCAGGTCGCTTACCCATATCATTGACTATATACATTGAGTATACCAGTGGACTTCTTATCCAATTCTCACTCCCCAGCAAAGTAAATCATTCCCGGTTTTATGAACAAAAACTAAAACAAATTTAGAATGAATTTAAGATAGACAAAAGTTTAAAATAATTAACTTACGGAGTGAAGGAGATCGTCCTGCAGTGAGCTCCTGGACCAGGACATTTCCGGAAGTGTGCCAGCGATGGACTCATCACTCGGAGTCGAGGCCGTCTGCCTTGAGGCCGGTCGAGACTGAGGTACAGAGACCGAGCCGCTGTTACTCGGATCACACACGACGATGGTGTGGCGGCGCATGGATGCTCTGCGGCTGGGACACTGAGTAGCCAGGTCATAGGCTGTAGAACAAACGAGGTTAGGTTAGGTTAGGAATAGCGCATGCTGGAGTGAACTACGATTGTTTTGTAGCAAATTGTATATCTTTAGGTGGAATTCAGTATATATGATTGGTTTTATCACTAGTAATGTTCTGTAAAGTACCTGCAGTAATATAGGACAGCACTGAACAATCCCAAAATCTCCATATTTTGGTATTAGACTGAGACAAATTTATTGAAACTCATGTTAGTGAGGTAAAATAATTCTGAAGTTAACAAACAATGGCTTTACTTCGAACTAAAATACTTGGGGAGCAAATATTTCTCTACATGCTCTAACTTGCCGTTCAAAATTCATACTGATTCATACTGTAAACATCAGTGATATGGAATGAATTATAAGTTTAACACCTTTTAGATTTTTAAATCTTGTTAGAACCATTATAAAATTTATATTTGGAATAAAATAACAGTAAAATTGCTAAAAGGTCAAATACTTGTATAAAACCTCATACACTTTGCTGAATCAGGGGCACCCAGTTTTCACTACCGTAAACTATAATATTCAATCACTCGTGATATAAAGATATGAAATTGATATCTTCACATAAATAAGTGTACATACTTGATCTAATCTCATTAAGATCTTTGTGAGAAATTGAAAGACATTAATAATAAATTACTATTTTTAGTTAAAGTCTTGTTTCCTAATAAAATAGTTTTACATTGATTATCTATGTTTAGTCAAAAAATTCTTTTGACACATTGTGTTAAGGCTCCGTACATCACAAGGAGATATCCATTAAAGGCTATAGTATTTTTATGAGGTTAATTACTGTATGTACAGTATAATCTCAATTAAAAAATTACAAAAAAATCACAAGCAGTTCAAAAGCCGTTGAGCTATAGTTTATATAGTAAAATATTTAATTTAATGTTGATTAGTATCTTATATTAAATGGTATGTCTGGTTAAAAGTTAAATGAAACTACACTCAATCCATGCACAAATAATCAAACCACTAAAAACTTTAAGTGACACTAATAATTTTTTGAACAATGACAAAATCACATTCAATTTAAATTACATTTTACAATGAAATACATCTTACACTAACACACTATCACACAGCACATGAAAAATAGCAAACACTAATTTACTTAAATTAATAAACTTCCATGCAGAAAAGTCTTTGATGTTCACTCTCAAAATGCAAAAAGGTTTCTAGCAAAAAAAATAACAGAATATGAATAAAGTGAAGCTTAGTCTAACAATTGAGTGCGTGAATCTATCTATGGATTTGTTATAGGTTTTTATGTCTCTGTTAAATGATGTTCCACCACCCTTCAAGCACTGGGCTCACCTTCCGATGCCAGCCAGACTCGAAGAAATCTTCAAACACTTCACTGGATACACTTGACTTGAATGTTAATTTTTTATTTTGTCATATTTCTTTTGGTTAATTTTTTTGTGCAATTACCTATATTTTTGAACCTTTTGTACTTCTTTTGGTTTTATTTTCCAAAAACGTATCATAACACAAAACTATCGTTAAAATGAATTTTTAAGGGAACTATAAGCTAATAACAAAACTATAAACAGTTTACATGTTTATTGAATCTTTTACATCATGTGCTTGTGATTCTAAAATTGCTATTTACAATATAAAACACGTAGAAGTTACATTAACAAGTTAATATATACAAACAAGAAATTGTTATAACAGTTTTGATTTGTTATCGTCCTTAAATAGTTATAAGCAGGTAAGCCGAACATAACATATATTAAAAATCTATCGTAATGACTAAAGCTATGAACTATTAGAATGTAATTTAGTTGGATATTGACAAGACAAACTAAAACCCTATTAAAACTTGGGTCCAGTTCATTCAGTTTTCTTTCTTATACCTATACTAGTTAGTAATGTCAACATCAGTCTCTTATGGGAATTAGATTACTGTTGTCTACACAGAAATAGTAGTTATTGTAAGCCTTTTGATTTTATTAAAAGGAATATTAACCAGGTCAAACCCTTAAAAACTACCACATACATAACTTTTTAAGTATAAAGGCATGTTAAGGCACTAGTACGTACATTTTCCTCCTCAGAACATAAGTTACCAGAATGCGTATTGTTTGACTTGTTTGTGGAAAAATTAGTTTCAGAAAAAAGTATGCATGTTAGTGAAGTTGAAAATTAGATAAACGAACGATATCTCCTTTTAACAAATTCATAATTCAAAGTTATTTAAAAGGTAGGAATAAAGTGATATTTATTTTGCATTAAACATCTAATAAAAATACTAAACAACATGCCATAGTTGTAGCAAAATTTCAACAAAACAGAATTTGGGCATTCTATGGTTTGGGAACCAATTATAGAATTTCAAAGTTTCTAAACTTACCAAACAAATTCTTATAGGAAAGAAGGATATGGTAAAAAATTAGAGTAATTCATGCAGACAGCATTTCAAGAAACTAACACATCTTAGTCAGGCAAGCTTAAAATAAAAATCAAATTAAAATTCATGCATTCTGGCCACTTTAGCTTAAGCCGGTCAAGTAAAAAAGGTTATTTGTGCTCAAAGTTGTGTATTTTATAAAACAAACTCTGAAGTCTTAAGATTTAAAAGTGGTGCAGTCCAAAATTAATTTTAAGTTTTCTTTTGTTACTATGGGTTAAAAAGGGCATAGTTGTTGCATATTTGATTTGAATAAGAGAATTCTGTAAACAACTATTTTCTGACAAAGAGCATAAAACTAAAGTTTTTAATAATAATGTAATGAATGAGAAAGATTTGTGAAAAACATTCATCAGAATCAAAATTATCATATTCATTTTTAATTTATGATACAAAAGTATTATTATTTAGTAGTTTTAGGAAGAAAGGACTAGTTCGATAAAAAAAGCAAAACAAAAATACTAATATTCCATGCCTCTATTCAAGATAGGATTCACTTTTATAATCTATATAACAATTTCCATTATAACCACAAAATATTTAGGAGTTTTTGGTTTCCTTAAGCATCTCTGTCATTTCATACATATTGAACTCCTTATGTCAAAACACATCTCCCAACAAGATTTTTCTTCTTGTTTTTCATTTTACAGCATACCATGTTTACTGATGGTATTTTGTCAGAATCAGAGGGTAATTTAATTTTTGATTCATTGAAATTTATCAAAATATCTACACACTCTCAAACACAGTTCAGTCAAAAAGTTATTAAGATTCAATTACAGTTTCCCCTTAAAGGCAGTTGGTATGTGATAGTCGCTAAAGTCAAAAAGGCGCGATTATATTAAATCATCTGTATTGACCAAATTTACAAAATGGATTTAAGAAACCATGTGATAGTAAAGAGAAATGTCCTTTTAAAGGTACAAAGTCTTAAATAGTGGCTCTATGGCAATAAGGCAGGATTATTAAGTCCGTATGTCTACATCTGTTTTGGTTAACTGTGCAAAATCATTTAGTTTAAGAATCAATCAATATTCAACATCCTCCTCGGAAACTAAGTGTTAAATCCGTCTCAACTGAAAAGAACTGTGAGATCACTCCAAAACTTAAAATTTTGTTAATTTTGAAACCCATACAAAAGTGAATCCGTCAAGAATTGAGCAAGCTATAGTATTTGACAACCATTCGTGACACGGCAAGCATTCTGAGGGGGCAGCGTACACTCTAACGCGGAGTCGCAGTAGTGATGGTACTGGTCGTGGGTTAGCGTCGCGGCGCTGCCTCTACCTGTACGGCGCCACGGTGTCCTGGCGCTATGGTCTGGCTCTCGGCTGTCCCCGTCACTGAGCTCCTCGTCGTCATCGTCCTGTCAATCAGAGTACAGAGATTAGGGTGTGTTCAGATCAGTCCTAAGTGGGTAGCCTAAGGAGTTGAGAATGTGGATAAAGAAGAAATGAGGAAGAAAATAAGATTGAAGAAAAAATTAATCTCAATTATTGGTATTAGGCGAGGCACAGAGAAGTAAGTATAAAGGAAACTCGCTTATGGGACCGTGCGCTCTCAGCTCTAGTACAGTATGTTTTGCCAGTATACTTGTGATGAGCAAGGAAGAATCTGAGTGGCGAGCCCTGTGCGGAAATTACTATCAAACAAAACATGCGGTCCCAGGGGGATATATCCCCCCGAAATATTTGATATTTTATTAGCTAACATAACTACTATTTTTATTTATGTAGTTATGTATGCTCATAAATAGCTTGAGCATATTTTAGAGCTCAAATTCGTATATAAAAAAACGTTTTTAGGCTTTAAATTCCACTTTTTTCCCAGGGGGGTCCCCCAGACCCCATTTTTCAAAGTGATATTCCATACCCCTGGTGGACATCCCCCCCCCCCCCCCCCCCGAAATGAAATCCTGGGACCGCCACTGCTATCACACAGGGTTTTAATCCACCGTGAGCGTTGTAGTAAATGATGTCAAAATCTTGTCGAACGTTTCACAATGTAAAACGATTGTAAAAATGGTGTTTGCCGTAAAAAATAAATAAATAAATGATGGCAAAGGGGACAGTGTTGAAATTTGCCCTAGACACCAGTGACTAGTGCCAGACACCACTTATGTGTACCATTGAATGTTCTGTACCTTACTTCTCTGTGGTACAATAGCATGAGCCAGAATTTGTAAAGCACCATTCCATTATGCAGCCACAAAGGGAAAGCACTATCAATCATGTTCCTGTTCCTTGTCCCACTAACCCTGCTTGGGGTCAAGCTATAATCATTGTATACACTCACTAACACTTGCAAATTGAACGCAAAATATTTTAGCCAAGACCCCATACCTATACCCACTTGTGAACTTTATGACGGTTAGTCACCAAAACTAATTTCTAAAAGTAAAAGACCTAGTATATGAATTGTAAAATGCATTTACCAGGTAATTTACTTTAAAAAAAACCCCAGAATTTAGAAAATAGTTTTAAAATCTATCTTTTAAAAGCCATACTACTAAAATATAAACTCGTCTTAAAATTACAATTATACAAAAATGAAACGTAAAGAGCCTTACTTAATAAGTCCAAGCTTCAAATTTACAAATCCGATTATTTATTATTTTCATTTAAAAGACGACTCCTTCAGTTTCTGTGTGTCATGTGATACAGTTGTGTGTTGCGGGAAAGTGTTCTAATACGGAAGGCACTAGTGTTTGCGAGGAAAATAGGCACCTACTTTGAACCAACTGTTCACAAAGACGTCACAAGACTATTAAAAAATCATATACTGTATATACATTGACTCTAGACACAATGCTAAAACAAGCCGAAAGTCGATGAAAATGTCTAATTATTACTGACCAATTCATACTCGATTGAATATATTTACTAAGTGTTACGACTTCATTTCTCAAAGAAATTAGTTTGCAACAAATTTGTAAAATTATTCATCGACAAAATTGTTTACCTCATATTCTGCACTAAACAAAATTACTCTAACAAGTAAAGATCTAATTGATACCCTTAAAAACTAGGGCAAGGGTTCAGAAATAGAAAAAACACTCTAGTACATAAATAGATGCAAATCTTCCACTACTGCAACATTACTGCGCACGTAACTTCAAGTCGCTATTTACCGACCCAGGTGTGATGACTCACTAGGGGAGAGGGAGGGGGAATTTACGAGCTATAACCGCAATTGCTTTTTATAACAGGGGGAGGTGGAGATGCAATAGGTGTTTTGGGGGTGGAGGCTCAGGGTTCAAAATCTATGAAACGGCGCATGTCCGAATCCTGACTGACCTTTGCCTACCTTCATTCAACACCTTTGACCTTCACGCAACACCTTAAGGGGGGATAGGTGGAGGGGGGAAGGGCATGCGCAACCCCCCTAACTTTGGGGGAGGCATTTACATTCCACCTCATACACTTAACTTTTCCGAGTGTAATGGAACGACTGAGGATTTATCGCTGTACAAGCACTAACCTCATTGATGTTTTTTTTTACAGTGTTACAAACCGAAATTGAATTTACACATTTCAGATGTTTTAAATATTATGTTACATAGTATCATTTTTTTAGTTGGTAGGTTTGTTTAGCAGGAAGTAGGCTACAGCGGCTACATAACGTTAACTCCGCCAATTAGAATAGCAATATAGTAACTCAAACCAAATTGTAGTGTTGTTTCGTGCCCACTGGACTGAGGCCATGTGCTAGGACCATGTCCTATTCATTTAGGAGTATTACCACTTAAAGAACGTGAGATGAGAAAAACAAAATATTTAAAATACACAACTGTATAAAAACTAAGTTGCACCGCATATATGTAAAGACTGATGGAGAAATCTGGCGTTAAAACTACGAGTATATAAATATACTGTTTTATTCGCAGAAATGACAAACGTAGACAGGTTGATTTGCTATTCTAGGTTGCATGTCATGCATGTCACGCTTTTCACTGAGTTCCGTAGAAATTCATTTTTATCTCAAGCATGCAGATTAATATTTGACATTAATTCCGGTCGAGACATTAATGCATTTCGTAAAAAACCTCTTTTACTTATTTTTCGTTCGACATGATGCATTTTAATTTATGCTCATAGATGTAAAAATCTAACAAACCATCACAATTGTTTTTGTCAGCAAAGCAGGTACAGAAATCATCGCAGTACCAGTTAATGATTGAAATATATGATTCGCCTATTGGGTCTGATGGTGATTGGAGTGTACAAAAACACTTCAATAAACAGGAAAAACCTCTAATGGAAAAATTAGCGTTGTAAAAATTCTTTGACGCAGAAATTGGTTATCACGTTGGCTGTCTATCACATCTTGAGGAGAACCTACTAATGCCACACGTGTCTTAATATACGTCTATAAAGGTTTTCATTGTACATTCGAAGTGAAGCCTTGCGATGTGTTAATCATTCAATGACAGTAAAAAACACTTTTTACCTTCCCCGCAAATAAAGTTTGACAACATAGGCAAATTTTCCCGGGGCCCCTGAAGTCCAGGCCTGTTGTTTGATCAAATTTCCATTCAAACCATCTGTTATTATTTTTCGTCCATAAGTGTAACAGTGCACTAGGAAAAGGTGCTGGTTAATCAAATAAACCTAAAATGGTCTTGTAGCATATTGATCACTTTGTGAACAATCTATTTAAATATTTGCCCAAAAATGCACATAAGGGTATAATGAACTACGTTTATTCTCACAACTGGTATGTTATATAATTTGTACAAATCCTTAAGACGAAATTAGTTTCGTATGAACATTAAATTTTCACCAAGGCCTTCGCAAACTTATGTTTAAACTATTCAAATGGGTCGTCAAATAAAATCTACGCATTATTTCGTAAAATAAAAAAGAGATAAATGAGTTCAATAATAGGTTATCTTTGAAAATACTTAACGTCATTATATTTTACTACTTTTCTTCAGGTTATTGTAAAAAATAGGGAGGTTGTTGAATCCATGTAACGCTTAACAAGTCAAATCAATGAAAAACAGGACAAATCTATCCTAATGTTGGGTAAACTTTGTAATATATTTCTAATTACAAAAATACCGCGGCCGAAAACACGTAGTTCCTGCCACAGTATCTCGGATAAACGTCCAATTCATCATTATAAAACGTTTACACCGGAAGTAACTCTCCTGGATGGTCGAAGGAGGATTTCCACCCCAGTGGAGTATCAAGTATTGTCCAGCAAAGGACTCCTTTCCTCAACCACCCATCCATAGCACCTGACATGGTTCTCGTCCGTCGTCCGTCACTGCTTCGCGATAAATGGAAACGCATTCAAAACGTCTTTAGTCACGGTCAGTGAAAAGAACCTGAGTGGTCAGCGGATTTAAATCCGCCGATTTAAGTTTTTCCAAACACATCGGCCAACGTTCAAAACAACGAATAGTTTCAAGTTTGTGTGTTTGGAAATGAGTATTCATGTTTATACGTCATAAATTACGTTTTGGAAGGTGGAAGTCACTTAAAATATGCGTGAATGATTAATTTTGTATAGCCTTAAGTTGCATTATTATGGGAGTAGCACAAATGACAGCTAAAACCAGATGCTGAACAATAACTGGGTTGGTTTTACAACGGTGACAATGTTGAAATAACAAGTTGTGTTACGAAGACAGAAGACACTCTGTTAACAAGATAAGGTCGTAAACTGACGTTTATTAATTTCTACCATTACCATAGTATATGGAGAATGTATTGTTTTCGTCGACATTTTCGAGTTTCAGTTTTGAGTGGTTATATTTGTTTTGGCCCCCCTGAACCTAAAAAGTGGTTTTCAAAGTGATCTCTGTCTGTGTCAGTGTGTGTGGATATGCACAGAGCTACATTACCACACATGTAGTCCGATTTTGATGACATTTTGTATGTAGCCTAGGTAGGTACCTTTCGTTTCCAGATTTTTCATTTTTCGAAATTTTAATTTTTTAATGGTGATATTCTATAAAACCCATAAAATAACGGAAAGTTTTCTCAAAAATGACTCGAACGATGCTGAAAAATAGTTCTTTATCGTCCTTTAAATTTAGAAGAAAAACATGCAGCCACCATGGCTGGTAAATAAATGATGGTTCAAAAGTTATTGCAACTTTTGTGGTGTTCCCTATAAAATATTGAAGTTACTACTCATTATAAAGGTTATTAACGAGCTACAGTTATGGAAGAAAGTATGTGTGAGAATGATTAAATCGTTTATTTGATCATGCGTTCGTGTTGGCCTAGGTTAGAGATGGTGGATTGAGTTAAAACACTAAGTATCGGAAATTATTTACGATTAAAAATTGTAATCATTCAGATTTTTACTGATAGATCTTTTAAGTTGAGCATGGTAAATATTCTACATCCAAGGTAATCAAACCAGAAACACTTAACAAGAAATAATTTCTGACTCTGTTCGCAACGCAAAGTGTTTCTTTCTTGTTAGTGATAAACAAACTTCCAATACCTTTGGCACATGATAAGAACACGAGTTAAATTGGTAGTACATGGACTCTTGATACAGTGCCTTTGCTTTGGTATCAATGGAAGCCACTTCACTTGAGTGGGGGCAAACAATTAACTGAATCAGTAACTAATTACGTTAGACCTACCGTAGTGGACTATTCCGCCCTAAAACAAGTGTTCAACAAAACTAACAATATTTTGAGGTACGAATGGAGTTTTCGATTCAACATTCAACCTAAACACATCCTACACATGCCTAGCTGGCATGTGGGTTTTTAAGACACATGCTTGGCTTTTGATACATAGATTTACGTTACAGATAAATTGGTAAAGCAATCTTTAACGATCAATTACACTAATTTCAATTAGAAACAAATATACCGTTACTTTCATACAATGACGTCTTATGTTTTTGGATCGCGTGTAATTTTGGAACATCCTGTATATAAAGGACACCAAGGTGTCCACCCAAGCATTGTTCTAGCCTCTGGTGCAACCCCGCCCATGTGGTATAAGGGATATTGTTGTTATAAGAGGTTCAAAGTTGTTGTAATCTATGGGGCCACTAAAAATCTAAACTACTGTATTTTTTAAATGTTCTGTTAAAACAACACACCAGGGTACATTTCCTTTGTTTTGGTAATGTTTGAAAACATATTTCTACAACCTTTAATCTAACATCCTTTTTTTATAGAATTATCATCCTTAAGGATCAGATGAACACAATTTTAAGGAGAGAATTTCAGTTTATTATATAGGGGGAATTTTGCTGTTTCAGTATTTGTGTTCGTTGTTTTACCTATTTAAAACTATTGAAACGATCTAGTAATAATCGCTGGATTTCTTGTCCACTACCTGTATAACCTAAGATGATCGTACGGTCCGTGAAAATGACCTAATCGTAATTCGTATTTAGTCTCATTTGGGGCATTTTAACGTTATCAACATAAAACATTCAAACAGTGTTTGTAAACTATATTAAGACCGAAAGTTTACTACCACTGTTCGAATTCAATGCTTAATGCATTTACTGATTGTCTGTGGAAGCTTAGGAAGTTTACTACTGATAGGATTTGTTTACCAAAATTGTTATGGAGATTACTGAGATAAGCGTGATAATTGTTTATTTACCTCGATGGCTGAGAAGTCGACTTTGATGAGTCGTCTTGTCGCTTTGAGAGGAGTCGTCGAGTCCGGCTGCATCGACTCATCGAACGGAACAACTGAAACAATGGGAATACGTAAATACATACAATATAAACAAAGCTTTAAAAATTGCAAAGGATCAACAAATAACACTAAACTTGGAGAAACCAGTTAGTAATATACAGGGTGTTAAAAAAAGGTGGGGACATATTTTACGTAGTGAATCCTTCGGTCAAAATAAAGAGAAAATCAAGAATAACATTTTTTCCAAAATCGCTTTGTTATCCAGTTATCCGCCATTTTGTATTTTTTACATAAACATTTTTATCTTTGAGTTTTTTCAACCGATCTTTATAAAACTTGGTAACTTAGTGAAACTTTGGCAAACCTGACTTATTCTACCCCATTTTACAACTAAAGATCGTAATATTTAAGCTATTTCTTATTTGATCTCCTTGAATTTGGTGTCGTTTGATAAGGAATTAAAAATGCTAAATAAAAGTATTCTTGACATTTTTTTCATAAAATCAGCCATTTTCTTTGTAATTTAAGGTTAAAAATTTAAATGGCCACCATTTTAAAAATGTTTGGTCTAATCAAGATTAGTTTTTTTCTCTTCTACTTCAACATACATATCAAGATTCATCAAGATCGGTTGAAAAAACTCAAAGATAAAAAAGTTTATGTAAAAAATACACAATGGCGGATATCAGGACAACGAAGCGATTTAGGAAAAAATGTTATTCTTGATTTTATCTTTTTTGACCAAGGAATCACTACGTAAAATATGTCTCCACCTTTTTTGAACACTTTGTATATGTTGTAACGAACACGACATAAATTAAATTCACGAAAATACTCGATACCAGAAACGACCTCAAAATTGAGGACCTTTACAGAAATAAAAACTTGACGTTAAAAACTTAGAAGAACAAATACGTGATGTATATGACAACTATTGTGAAATACTGCTGGATTTAATCGGGTAGGAATAATGCAACGAATTAACCTAACTGACTACGACAATATGAAGGAGAATCAAAAATACATTTGTTGTTTAATTTAAATAAATAGCTAAATACCAAGTAATTCCTATACACTAGTAGTAGTTAATACCTAGCATAGTACACAGAGAACATAACTAAACCTTACAAACTAAATAACCATCCTACTTTTTAGTTACGGTTAGGTTTGCGAAATTAATTAAAACTGAACCTGTCATTGTAGAGATATGCGACTAGAATTTACTAGCCCACTTTTTACACCTAACCTGGTGCACAAACGTAAAAAAAATAAAAAATAAAACTTATTTTAACATTGTAATGTATAATAAAACAAATTATTTGAAAAATTTATGTTTGAATTTTTGTAATCAAGTAGAAGCTGATGATTTGACAAAATAGCACCATCTGTTAATTTTATACAAACCAAAGTTACAAAGCACAATAAAATCCATTGTGCATCCAAAGAGATATAAAGTTTATACCATTTTTTCAAGAGTATCAAAAGAATTTGTTTAATACTAACTTGATTATTGATTTTGTACCAACTTAATTCTGCTGTGTAAAAATATTCACACAACGCTGCTGTTGACGATGTAAATTATCTAGAGTTGAAAGCAGAAAATAGACAAGAGAGTTAATTAACTGATAATTAATAAATGAGATTATTCATTGTTTCAACGAAAGCTGGTGGATTATACCTCCATTGTTGCGTTCTTTTGCTAAACAGCTGATCTAGATGGATTTCTTTTTTCTATGTAATTATTTCATAAAAAGATGTCTTTTCGTTTTGTGATTTTTAAAAGAGGGGTATGGTGTTTTTTAATTTGATTGCTTACAGAGTATGTGATTTATTTCTCAAAGAAAGAATCGATGTAAAAGTATTGTAGATTCCCTCTGAACATCTACTCAATCAAGATCTTGCGAAATGGAAGTAGTTAATCTTAATAGAAGCCAGCCGAGTGTAACCCCATCCACTCCCAGTCTATATTCAGTTTGTCAGAGGTGATCACTTTTAAATTATCTGATAAAGTTATTCCATTTATACGTCAGTGCTATAAATAATTGTAAATGACATGATTCGTCACAGGAAACCAACATACCCAAGCTATCCCCCCCCCTCCCACAATAGGTTCTAGATTTGAGTTCGTAGTTTAATCGTGACTATAGACAAATTTGTGTAGTATTTAAGAAAATGGATGAGATCTAAAATATTTGGACGAGCTGTGCAATTTTAGAATTGGAAAATTGGAATTTTTGAAAATCTTAAAACCGTCAAGTATATGTATGTCAGGATGTAACATCCTGGTATTTCAAGAAAACGTTTATATTTATATCCACGAACGACCAAGAGTCCTAAAACCCATTTTAATGCGAGATAACACTGAATAGGCTTGGAACAATAAATGATAAACGCTTCAACAAATTAGTCTTCGGGATAAAACCACAACAAATCACAGACAAGATGAGCTGACGTATACGTGTAACGGAATACGACTGAGAAGCTGCAGCTCCGAAGATGGCATCAGCAACTAGGCCGAAACGTAAAAACTGTGTACGATGTTGATGTGACTCTGAAATTCCCTAAATATCACGACAGTGATATGGTGCGTAGCCGTATAAGTCTCCCCTCTAATAAAGTAGTTACTTGGATATCAAAATTTCCATTTTTCTGTATTGTTATACAAGACACACTATCGGTATATAGAAGGCCAGTGTGGTGCGGGAGTAGGTCGCCAAACGAGCGAATGTAGTCGTAAATCGGTCTGGAAATGTCAAGTCACAAAACAAGGACGATGACTTTGCCATCTTGTGAAGGCAGTTAAGGCGACTTGTGTCAGAGATGGGGCAGATAATGGTCACATGATCTGTGTATTATTACAGGTATTGAGAGGTTTAGGAGCTTGAACTTAAATAATGCATATGCGCTTTTTAATACAATTGAACAGTCAATTAATTTGCTATTTTATGCGTTTCAATTGACAATACCATTACAAACCTAAACAATAAATAAACACCCTTCAACTACAGTGTGTTAAACTATAAAAAATCCTAGCTGAGGAAAAACTGGGAAGGAACCAACCAAATCTGATTGGGAATTTAAAATACATTCCAATGCATTACTCATTTATACTAACACCTGACTTCCCATGTAATGTAAATATTTGAAGCCAAAAACCGTTGTGCAATCTGTTGAGATGGTCACCAACTAATGACAATATTCTGTGTTAAGTAATTAATCTTTTAGCTTTTTTATTTAGTTTTTTTTTATTAATATTTAACCCAATACACTAGTAAACTAGTGAGATGGTCTTGAACATCATCTATTTTCTTCGCTTCAAATGTTTACATTACATGGGAATTATAGTCTGTGTATATTTAATGCTAACATGTACACGTTGTAGTCATATCAGATTCGGCAAAGACGTTTTTGCGAGGTTGTTAGACGGGTTCTGCCACACGCGAAATACAATATCACGTTTGCCAACTGAAACGTGATATCATGCAGAGGAAGGAACCAGTTTTACCAACTTGTTAGAAAATAGCGAGGTTTCACAAATTACAAAAAATATTTAAAGTTGTGTATATTCCCCATTATAAACGAATATATCAACTGGCGTACTGGGTACAAAAGGTCAACATAAAACTGTCTATGGAGGCGTTAAAGTAAGGTAATGCGACAAGGCACGCAAGAAGCCTGAGAAATGCATTTCAATCCAATAATCAATTATCAAGCAAAAAGCAAGCGTTGGTCAGGGCTAGAGGATTGCGCGTAACAAAATTGGGTCGGATTTGATGTAAAAAATACTAAAAGTCATTGATTAGCTTGTAGGATTAGATTTTTGACTAGGTACTATTTAAACGTATTGTACCAGCTAGGAAATGTTAAGCTACACTATTCTTAGCCAAGTGTGTTACTAGACCTATTGTCTAGGTTTCATAAGTACTAAGAATAAGTCGTAGAATTACGATATAAATAACAATTTAAAATTCGGAGGACTTTTGTCTTAAAGATCCATTAGATGGAAATCCTAAACTGAAAATAACCTTTGTCTTCACTTATTATCATCATTTAATTCCTCTTCCGGGTACCTTCTATCATCACATTACATTAACATAACTGTTTGTAAATGGTTTATCACTAAGCCATTAGCATCCAAGATAAAGTTAGTTCCAAAACCTTTGTATTCCAAAAGGATATGATTTATTGTACCTACCTTGTAATTTCGGATCTTTCGACACAACAACTTTTAATGTTCAGTTCTGTATTTGGGAGAAAAAAATATCACAATACAAGTAGGCTAAGCGTCAAAATTTTTTGTACGTTAAGAAAATCGAAAAATCATTTAGAAATTGATTTTGTATGAATAAAACACTTAATTTGCCTCATACATAAAAAAATACACTATTCAAGGAATATAATGATGGCACCCACAGAAAGACACTACAGACAAAGAAATGGGCTTGAATGAATACAGCACCGCAGTACTGTATGTATGGCCAACTTAATTCAACTAGGCTATGCAGATGCATCAAAACATCGGCGACTATAACCGTAATATACTGAATCTTCTCGTCATCCTTGCAACTACTGTAGTTATAAGAAACGCACACATACTTTTAGGCAATTCCTATCGATAACAATCCAGTCGGTCAAATCCAGCAAAACGCGCAATTATTGACAAACCGTTATTGCGTGCCATTGCTGTTAACGGTAACTAGGAAGCGACTGTGTTAATTGTTGCGTTTGTAGCTAGCAATCGGCGCAACAAAGGATTGCGCTATTGCTCTCGACGGCGCAATCTTGCGCACGTTATAATTACATTCACATAGCCACGCCCTCCGTTGTGCAATGGGTCCGGTCACTGAGTTATTCGGTAGAGCAAAGTTCAAGGACAGAATAATGATGGCAGTAATTTAAACCTAATATAACCTTTCTAACTTTGCTCCCGGAATTAGGTTCATATTTTCAATCCAAATCTTTAATACCTGGATAATTCGAATATAATTTGGATTTGACGTGATAACGATAGGCCAACAAGTACCGAGAAAAATTAACCTAAAACGCAATTTGC